CCTTCCTTCCCCAGACTTGAACAAAACCTGGGCAGCTCTGGAGGTCTACCAGATTCTTTTAGGACGCTGGACCTGTTATGCCCAGTTAACATTTCATTCCACACCAAAGAAGTACAAACATTTCTTTTGAAATTTAAGACTGAACAAAGCCAGCATATTCCAAATCTGTATATCCCTCCTCTCCCCTAGGTTTTTTTTTAAAATTAAGATGCTCAGGGACGAACATGGGGAGGTCAGGAGACTCAAGTTTTATTAAGCCAGGTTGTTCCCACGCCAAAGAGGCAGCTGTAACATGACACAAGGAACGGCAACCACCCCTATTAGCAGTTCTTCAAATCATAATGTTAACACACTCCGCCTTTTTTGTGCAGAAGTATTTCTTCATCGCTTGTGCTCCCGGTTGAGAAGGGCAGGCTCAACGTTGTCTTGATGATCAGCCCTTCTAGAAAGGCTAATCCCGTGACAGAACTTTTCTCTGGAAGTCTCAACTTTTACTGGGTTTGCTTTGGATCTGTGATCTACGAATTATGGCCAAAGGAGCGCATTCCGGTGTTTACTGCCTTTTCTGTATTTTTTTCCCCCAGACTGATGTGTGGCAACATGAGGTGGGGTGAGGGGCTGTACATTTGAACGCCAACCCCCCCCCCAAACGGCTGGCAGAGCATTATGGAAGCTGCTAATGAGCCGAGATGGGAACTGGAGTCGTAGAACTTAAGTCAGACTTAAGTTGCATGGGTGACGCGACTCAGGGGTTGTTGGTTGTTGTTGTTGTTTTCAAAGACCTGGGACATGACTCTGAACCCACCCACCTCTCCCTTTTTTTTCTGGTGAGAAAAACCTTATTTTTAACAGGGACTCAGACTTGAGACTTGGGACCAAAACCTCAGACTTGAAACCAGACTTGCCCACATCCCTGTTAATGAGTAAGGAAGGCTAGAATCCTGTGGGTTAGTTATGCCAGCACAACTGCATAAGTTCAATGGTGTAAATAGCAGCAGTGAAGGGCCACTGGTTCATAAGCCGCTGCTCTTGTATTCCCCGTCATTCAGCAAGTCATGTGATGGGTACGGTACAAGGAGTTCTAGCCCCCGTCATTGATGACATTGTGCTTAACCCCAGGGTAAATGGCTCGTAGGATTTTGGCCAGTGTCTTTGAGTTATTGTATGTTTTTTAGCTTCTGGTTTGTGGTTTCATGGGGATTTAAGACTAAAAAAAAGTACAATGGCAGAGAAGGAAGCAAATAATTTTACTCACACAGACAAACATATTATACATAGAGGGTCAAAATAAATGACACATGCCACCTGGAATTAGGCTTTGTCAAGTGGTGATAATAAATCAGCATGTGCTTTTCCACACCTCTGTAT